GCCGCCTTTGTTATAGCTGCAACCTGCGCCTCCATAGAAAGGGAGGTATCGAAGATTACACCCAAATTCTTAGTAGACAGCACTGGCACTAATTGCGCCCCCGCAAGAGATGGGAGTTGGGCCCCCGACCCCATATTGTCCTGGCCCAGCCATAGGACCTCTGTCTTTGAAGGATTTAACTTCAACCGGCTCCCACGTAACCATCCAGCCACAGCTTCCAAACATCTGATCAGTGTGTCTGGGGCCAAGTCAGGATGGCCATCCATCAACAGATAGAGTTGGGTGTCATCAGCATACTGATGGCAGCCCAACCCAAAACTCCGAACAAGCTGGGCAAGGGGGCACATAAAGATGTTGAAAAGCATCGGGGAGAGTATTGCTTACTGTTTATTTTACTTGTATTTAGTAAACAAAGCTAAAAAAGAAAAGTACCACATGATATATTTTTTTAAAAAAATCCCAGTACATCACAAGTATTAGACTCAAAATATCTGAGAGGGGAAATTAAAGCATGCTTAATGTGGTTTACATGTTACATTATAGAGAAGCATTTACTGGAATATTTGTAAAATATTAAATGCTTCCCTCAGATTGTTTAAATTTAAGGGGGGCATGCAATGGAGCCAAGGCCCTTCCTGTGTTGTCTTGCCTCTCAAAACTACCCACCTCAAACACACACTTGCAATTGTATTCCTAGTTTCCCATGTATACAGCTTTAGAGGGAAGGGGAAGATAGTTTTTTATATCCCTCTTCTACCATATTCAGTCTTTTCCACATCTCACCTTACGCTTCATCATTTCCAAGATCCATTCTTTTCTTACAAAACATTGTTCCGCTGGTTTCTTTTCTGCATACAATCCCTATTGAGAATGCTACTGAGAATTTATCGCTACCCTTCCTGCAATCATGTCCCTGTGTTTCTACTGAACCTGGATCCTCGGCATGTCTAGACCCCCACTGCTAATAGGCCTGATAAGCGAAGGTATCTGTTGACAGCAGCATCAGCTGGTCCCTATCTTAATTGCAACCAAGTGCTCCAAGGCCCTAAGGTGCTTGCCACACACTGGATTCTGTTTACATTTTGTGTCACTCCTAGAAAAGTGGACTCCTTCATTCATCACAGTGAGCATGGTAAAAAGGTAAAAAAGATAAAGGACCCCTGGACGGTTAAGTCCAGTCAAAGGCGACTGGGACTGCAGCGTTCATCTCGCTTTCAGGCTGAGGGAGCCAGCGCTTGAACACAGACAGCTTTCTGGGTCATGTGGCCAGCAGGACTAAACCGCTTCTGGTGCACGGAGGACAAGTGCCAGAGCGCATGGAAACGCTGCCTACCTGCCTGCCGCAGTGGTACCTATTTATCTACTTGCACTGATCTGCTTTCAAACTGCTATGTTGGCAGAAGCTAGGACAAAACAACGGGAGCTCACCCCGTCATGGGGATTCAAACCGCCAACCTTCCGATCGGCAAGCCCAAGAGGCTCAGTGGTTTAGACCACAGCGCCACCCGCATCCCTACAGTGAGCATGAAACGAACCCTGAAGACCCAAGACCAAGGAACAATTTTACAATGACCACCTCACGTCCCCAAGCAAAATTAATATTCGCAAATACTTTCCTCCCTTCGTCCCAGGTACTTAAAGCAGGACACAATGTCCTGATTTATTTTTATTACTATATTGAGGTTGATTTATTACTTTGGCCACCTCATGAGAAGAGAAGACTCCCTGGAAAAGACCCTGATGTTGGGAAAGATGGAGGGCACAAGGAGAAGGGGACGACAGAGGATGAGATGGTTGGATAGTGTTCTCGAAGCTACAAACATGAGCCTGACCAAACTGCGGGAGGCGGTGGAAGACAGGAGTGCCTGGCGTGCTCTGGTCCATGGGGTCACGAAGAGTCGGACACGACTAAACGACTAAACAACAAATATTGAGGTTGAGGCAGGCATTAGCACAAAAACCCACAAGGACTGGCTCCTAAAAGGAAGTGGCTCTGGCCGCTGCAGAGCGGACAGATAACTCCAGCAAGCGAGCCAAAGCTCACACTACAGTTTGCCCACATTATCCACTAAAATGCATTTCAGTGTCTGGGAACATTTGAAGTTAACCTCCAATTTTAATTAACTATCTCACGCAGAATAGAAAACCCCAATTCAGGCCAGGTACCCCAGGGATTCTCACTGTAATTAATGTGACTACATCAGCAAAAAGTATTTCATTGCACTACAAGTCGAAAGGCATCTTGCCCAACTGGAAGTGAAACTTTAGGTCGAAAGAAGTTCTCTGCTGAACCAAGGGGTGGGGAGGAACAAGGGAAGAGAGGGTTGCACCTTTTCAGCACCCTTGGGTCTTGCCTGTTTTCACACACTTAGCAACACATCCCATAGGATTCTATTTTATCTGCACAATCAGAATGAATTTCAGGAACCCAAAAGTCGTGTTGAACAATACGGCTTGTTAGCCATCTGGCCCCCAAATGGCAACTCAGCATTCTGTTTTGGCAGCTGTAACCCTGGTTTAAGGAGCCATTTGGCACCTAGCTTATATATATATCTGAGTTTCTAACTCTGAGAGCTGCACATTCTGACCCCACCCATGAAACTAACTACAGCTGGATGGTGCAGGTATAGAATCTGTCTATGGGTGTCTATATGCATTATTGCAATCTAAGAACATAAGGTAAAGGTAAAGGTCCAGTCGTGGCCGACTCTGGGGTTGCGGCACTCATCTCGCTTTATTGGCCGCGGGAGCCGGCGTACAGCTTCCGGGTCATGTGGCCAGCATGACTAAGCCGCTTCTGGTGAACCAGAGCAGCGCACGGAAACACCGTTTACCTTCCCGCTGGAGCGGTACCTATTTATCTACTTGCACTTTGACATGCTTTCGAACTGCTAGGTTGGCAGGAGCAGGGACCGAGCAACGGGAGCTCACCCCGTCGCGGGGATTCGAGCCACCGACCTTCTGATCGGCAAGTCCTAGGCTCTGTGGTTTAACCCACAGCGCCACCTGCGTCCATCTAAGAACATAGGAAGAGCCTATTGCATCAGGTCAATGGTCCATCTAGTCCAGCATCCTGCTCTCAACAGTGGCCAAGCAAATGGTTGTGGGAAACCTGAAAGCAGGACTCAAGCACAAGAGCCAGCTGCCTGGAAGATCATTCCATCCAAAAGGCAGAATATAAAACCTCTGAAAGGTGAATCAAGAATGAGCATGCACAAACCTATCTATTGTGAAGGTTCACGCCAATGGGAAGTTAGGATTCACTTGCTATGACTCCCTGACACGTGTACACAAAAAACAGTAAGTGTGCAGCGTCTACTCTCTATGGACCTCCCCATAAGCAGCTCACCATCAGTGGCCAATCTAGGCATAGCACAGGAAGATACAAAGCTTTGGCCCATCTAACTCAGTACAGTGGTACCTTGGTACTCAAACGTCTTGGTTCTCAAACTCCAAAAACCCCAAAGTTTTTCGGAAGCCAGACATCCAATGTGGCTGTCGGCTATTTCCAGGGCACCTGCACCAATCAGAAGCTATGCCTTGGTTTTCAAACATTTTGGAAGTCAAATGGGCTTCTGGAACTGATTAAGTTTGGAGCTTTTGTTTTTTATATTTATTTTGCATTTTTGTTTTTGAGGCTTTTTCGATTAATTTGTTTTTGCGACTGTGTGGAACCCAGGTCAGCTACTGATTGAGTGACTGCAGAAATGGATGAAAGCCCCCCATCCAAACAATGACTATCATCAGTGCAGGTAAGAATTTATTATTATTATTATTATTATTATTATTATTATTATTATCATCATCATCATCATCATCTACAAAACTGTCTTATTTATTTTCTAGTACAGTACATTGATTATTGCTTTCATTTTATGGATTGATGGTCTCGTTAGATAGTAAAATTCATGTTAAATGGCTGTTTTAGGGGTTGTTTTTAAAAGTCTGGAACAGATTAATTCATTTTGCATTACTTTCCATGGGAAAGTGTGTCTTGGTTTTGGAAAGCTTTGGTTTTGGAACATACTTCCAGAACAGATTAAATTTGAGAACCAAGGGACCACTGTACTGTCTACACTGACTGGCTGCAGCTCTCCAGGTTTTTTGACTGGGGTCCCCTACCCATCCCTACCCGGAGACACCAGGGATTGGAGCTGGGACCAGAATTCTGAATGCAAAACAGACCGTGGAGGCTAGAAAGGTAGAAGGCCGAGAGACCGACAATGAGTGGAGCCAGAGCAACTAATGGCAGGCAAAACCACCCCCTTGACTGGTTGTAAGAAGGCAGGAAGCTGAAGGCAAACTGAGGCTGGTGGGGCTGTGTCCCATTTGCCTTAAAGGACAAGCCTCCATGGAGTAAACAGATGTTCTACCATGGAGCTGCAGAACTTTCACCGAGCTATGGGCCTTTGGGTGCCCCCATCAAGATGTACACCGTTGGGGAAAGGGCCTTTCTCGCAGCAGTGCCTTGAATTTGGAACACGCTCCGCAGAACTGTTCACCTGACATCTAGTCTGTTACACTTGAGCCAAGGGGCCAATAATTCCCCTCTCCCCCCCCCCCCCCGGCTTTTAACTGGTAAGGATACATCAATTCTGCTCATCATTAGCGTGGTTCTACATGTTTTTAATTTTGATTTGCTCAAATTGTTTTCAGTTGCCCTTGCATCCTGAGATCTCAGCAAAATCTTGATATAAAGCTTCATTTAAAAAGTAACAACTTGTCGACGTATCTGCCCTACCGCTAAGCTGTGTACGCACCATACTTTTAAAGTTATGTTTTGCCGTGGCCACCAAAGATTCCAGGGAACTATAGTTTGTCAAGGGCGCTGGGAAATGTAGCTCTGAAGGTGGAGAAACCACATTTCCCAGGATCCTTTGGTGGAGAAAATGGGCTTTAAAAACTATGGTGTGTTTACGCAACTGCCAAAGGACACCAGCCTCGTTGCATGGGAATGCAAACTGCGCAGCAAACAAATGAAGGGAGGGAGTTGAACTTACTTTCGCTGGGTAGCCCCTCCGGATCGGGACCGTGACTTCTGCCCTCATCCAAGGTGAGAATGAGGGGGACGTCGTCATCTTCCGGATTCACAGCCATCCCCAAGGAGACTTTTGCTTTGCTCCAGGAAATCCCTTTAAACCCCGGCTCCCTTCGCCGCTTAGTCCAAGATCAGGCGCATCTTGCAGACCTGAAACTGTCCCGGGTGCGTGGAGGAAACGGCACCCATCTCGGCGGAACCCTGGCCCACATCATGGAGCCCCCACCAGGTACCCCGCCTGGCTTTTTGGGTGCTCTTGTTGCCAAAGGAGCGTCAACTCTCGACTTGCGCCGTCATTCACTTTCCGCGCAAAAACCGTCGCTGCTGCGTCCCAAACTCAGCTGGCGTCTGTCTCTGACCTCAGCAGCCCTTCCGACTTAGGAGGAGGATCATCCCTGGAGGGAAAGGGAGGGAGGCGGGGAGAGAGTGAGCGGAGGCGAACCAAAGAGATGGTGCTCTGCTTTAGCCGGCCCGGGGCCAGCCAGCATCACTAGGCGCCTCTCTTCGGAATAGCGCCTCGGTGGTCCATCGCTGCGCGCAAATAGCAAGGAGATCCGTTTCAAAACTTGGGGAAGGGAAAGAGGGGGAGGCCTCTCGCAATTGCAGCTGGACTATCTTGATCTCGGAAATGTTTCCGCCCACCCTGTTTTCAGGGCTCGATCGGTTTTGCAACGAGATCCTTTTCTTCCCCCTTAATCCAGTATAATAAAAACGCAGGGGTCTTTTATTTTGCACGCTTTACTCTTAAAACAGTAAAAGGTGGGCTGTTGTTGTTGCCGGGCTGGGGTTTTTTTTTGGGGGGGGGTACGCCAACACTGTTTCGATTTTGCACGCCTTCAACCCCCTCCTTCCTTTAACCAGATGTTAAAAGCCACTTTTGGTAGCCACTGTTCAATTTTTGATTTTGCAAAAATGCTCTTCCTCCTCTGGGCGTCCTCTTTTATTAAGACGGAATTGCTTCTTAAGAGGCTCTTTTTTCCTTTACCTGCCAAACGATGCCCTCTTAATAAAGAAGAACGTCCTCTAGGCATGGGCAGAGTGCCGCCCAGCCTTCGGCACTTTTAACACCTGGATCGTGTCGCCCCCACTTCAACTCCAACCTCTGAACCCCGTTTAGTATATACGCCATTCTGTCCCGTCCCCCCAACTATATGATTGCCATTTATTCTTACTATCAGTAATGGAAGGTCGGAACTTTTACAGCGCATAATGCGACTCAGCCTCCCTTGTCTGCGAGGCCGCTGAAGGGGAAGGGGCTCTCTTTACCTTCCCCCTCCCCGCTGTCCTACTTCTTGCTACCGGCGGAAGCAATTCCTAGGCCTTTTCGGAAGGCGGGAGTATTGGGACGAAGACGACACGGGACACGATTGTTGTCTGAAACCGCCCCCTTCCATCGCTTGTCGCTGCCGCCCCTCACCTGGCCTCAGGGCGGCCCCTCAAGCCTGAATACCGCTTTTTTAAAGACAGCGACACACGCACATAAAATACGCAAATAAAACAAAACACGCCATATGAAACTGCGGGGAGAGGAACACCTTCCTAATTGCCCTAATTTTTGGGTTTATTTCTCGTGGTGCCTTTATGAAAGTTGAAAGCTTTAAAAAAATCATCTTATAGTGTATATAAAACAGAGAGAGCAATTATAACAACAGAGGTGGGAAACAAAACTCTAAAATAGGCACGTGGAGTGAGTACAGTTGCACATGGGTTAAAATAAGAAAAGTTCAAGTAAAGGTTAGCATTATCAATGATTATATATTTTTTGTGTTATTTCTCTGCTGGACCATCTTCCTTGTAGTGGATCGGTGGCAAAGCATCGGGTTCAATCCCTGGCGTCTCCGGATATGGCAGGGAGCAAGAGGGATCAATGGTCTGACTTAATAATAATAATAACAATAACAAACTTAGTTGGTCACTAAGGTGCTACTGGACAATTTTTTTATTTATTTCGACTGCGTCAGACCAACACGGCTACCTACCTGAATCTAGAATAATGATAATAATAAAAGGCAGTATCCTACGTTTCTACGTAAGCGCAGTAAGGCTAACTTCACGTGCCGGGCACTGCGATCCTATATATGACAACTCGGAAGAAGACACCATTGGTTTCACTGGCGCTTACTCCCAAGTGAGTGTTTTACACTTGCAGCCTCCGTCTAGAATTGCTGCCCCAATCATCATAGGGCGGGATATAAGTAGAAACCGGAAGTTGCTTATGCACTTCAAGATGGTATACCTCTATATCCCTCGCCCATGCCCTCTACGTACAAGGAAAAACAACCCGTGCGCACGCACCATCCGCTTACACGCCCGCAAACTTTTGAGCTCCGCCCTACACGCGTGCGCAAAAGCCAACCGAGCTCTTCTGTGATAAGCGAGAGATGGCCCTATTGAGCCACCCCTGAGTTCTTAAAGAGCTGGTATAGAGGTAAGACACAAATTTTCAGACTTCCGGTCCTCATATGTTGAACTCCACCATATGAGTGGCAAGGAGCGTCCAAAGCAAACTTTCTATCCTGTGAAGACTAAGCAGGGAAGCTGCTCTGCCCCCACCTGCGTAGCGTCCTTTCCCCAATTTTTGAACTGGTTGCTTCCAAAGTCTCCAAGTCTATGGCATACAGTCAGGGAAAATTTGAGAGCCGCCTTTAGGGCACTTCCGTTCTAAAATCGAACTTCCTTCGAAGTAAAGGTGTCACCACAGAGATTGTACGGGGTAGAGCGGTACCATCCTGAGACCATAGAGAGTTTCTTCTCTCCTCACACCCCCCCCCCCCCGCAGCTCCTTTGCTATAAGAGAATCATAAGCCTCAAGTTTCTCCCCCGCCCCCGGACGCTCAAGCGTATGTGTGTCGTTCTAGAAATTTTCACCTCTATGGTTGCCCTCCCCATACGGTCAAGACTCAAGAAGGAACCTGAACCGCAAAAAGCCGCTCTATTGCGTCTATGACCCCTTGGTAGCGAGTGGAATGTCGAAGGAGGGTTGGGGGCGGGCTTAGAATATTCTCATATAGTTTCCGCACTGCTATTGGACAGCCCTTTTATATGATGCCAACGATAGGCAAAGAAGTGTCGGAGAATGTGATTGGTGGCTTCTCCCACCACCACGCTAATTGGAGTTGCCAAGCAACAGGCAAGCTGGGCCTTGTTTGAAAAAACGAGGCGGTGGTAGCGGTGACCCATTTTGGGGGTGGGGGTGGGGTGCAAGGCTTGTTTTGGGGTGAGTTTAAGGAAAGTCTAAATTGTTTTAATAGTGGGTTATTACCATATTTTTCTACTGCATATTATATTGGTGTTATTATAGGTTATGTTTTACATTTAAATATTATCTGTGAAATCTATGGATGGGCATCTGTACAAACTTAATAAGCAACATGCATAAATTTAGGAAGCTCTCTGTATCTCTTAGCCTAACCTCCCTAGCAAGGTTGTTGCTTGGAGGAGGTTGCAACTGTGAGCCGCCTTGAGTGTGTTGACCAGAAAAAACTATATATATATGACATAGATGTGTGTGTGTGTGTGTGTGTGTGTGTGTGTATGGGGGAAAGAAAGTTAAGGTAAGGTGTGGAACTGGGTAGCTGCTTGCTGCACGCTGTGACAATATCTACAAACTTTAATGGTTTCAAAAGAGGATTAGACAAATCTGTGGAGAGAGGTCTGTCAGGGGTTATTAGCTGTGATGAAACCTCCATGTTCAGCAGCACTATAGCACCAGTTCGTGGGGATGGGGAGCAACAGCAAGAGGGCTTATCCTTTTATGCCTTGCTTGCTGGATTCCTGGATGCATCAGACTGTGTCGGGAACTGCCTGGACCCTATGGGACTTCTGAATAAATGTAATTTGTATAGGACTGGGGTTTTTGTTTGTTTTTTAACAAGGGTGGCGTGTGTGAAGAGCCACAGAAGTGTGAGGAGAAAGGAAGGCGCAAGAGATGAATAATGCAGTTACTTTGGCTTTGTTTCAGTAGTGGCTCAGTAACGAAGTTGGGGGTGTGGCACCCCAGGAAAACAGATGCCATACCACTGAGCTGGACTAATTTTAAGTAAGAAGGCCAGCAGGTGGAGGGAGGGCTGGCTGAGGGTAAAGCCTGAGGTTTCTAGGGAAGTGCCCCATTTACCCAGTAAATGTTTTTTTACCTCTCATGGACCCTAAATCATCCCTTTACCTATTACAGCTCTTCTGCTTTCCCATTCTTCAGATTCTCTCCTCACTTACCCACTTCTAAGTTGTCTGTTCTAGGGCATATAAAGCACCATATTTCCTCATTATTCTGTCCTGGGTTGCGTGAAGACCACAAATGGCAAATAGTATCCTCATCTTCTTTTTTGGCGTCAAGTAGAGCTGGCCGGGACGCGGGTGGCACTGTGGGTAAAAGCCTCAGCGCCCAGGGCTTGCTGATCGAAAGGTCGGCGGTTCGAATCCCCGCGGCGGGGTGCGCTCCCGTTGTTTGGTCCCAGCGCCTGCCAACCTAGCAGTTCGAAAGTACCCCTGGGTGCAAGTAGATAAATAGGGACCGCTTACTGGCGGGAAGGTAAACGGCGTTTCCGTGTGCTGCGCTGGCTCGCCAGATGCAGCTTTGTCACGCTGGCCACGTGACCCGGAAAGTGTCTCCGGACAGCGCTGGCCCCCGGCCTCTTAAGTGAGATGGGGGCACAACCCTAGAGTCTGTCAAGACTGGCCCGTACGGGCAGGGGTACCTTTACCTTTACCTAGAGCTAGGCGATATATCAATATATTGTCCGAAACTGGTTTGAAGTCCGTATTGAGATACTGGTTTCATAATTTTTGACCTAGCAATATATTGTGAATCATGATGTGTGTTTGTGTGTGCTGTGCAACAGTCACGATGCGGGGGAAACCGTGAAGCCAGCCAGTGCCTCTATATAGCTCCATACATTGTGATATGCCAACATATTGCAATGTTTAGCTGGAGATATATTGCGATGTTGAAAACCAGATATCCAGCCCTAGAGTCAAGTCTCTTTTTTATATATTCTGTATTTGTGATTCTGGGACCAACATGTGTGCATGTGTGGCTTTTTTATAGTCCATTTCCCCACAGAAATTGAAGCGTCAGATGCGCTGGAGCACCTGCTTACTTGGTACTGAAGGCTAAAGCTACTTGTGGATCTGAAAGCACACCCTGTGAGGATACCTGGCTGAAAACATGGCAACCCAAGTAGTCCATCTGTCCACCCAATCAGATGCCAACCTGACCAGAAAGGTGAACCTCAGAATGCCCCTGAAGATCCTAGAGCCTGGTCGGTCAAAGCTATCCACTGTTGAGAGCAAGAGAATTATATCTGTGATGGACGATACCATCTTTAAGGTGGAGCTGGTCAGCGCATTCTCTTACATCATCAAGAACCTTGAGGATATGAGTGCAGTGTTGGGACCTGAACTTACAGGGGCTCTTAAGGAACACCTGCGGCTTTCAAACGTTATGGAGGCTACGCTCACCCGCCTTGAAGAGGAAGGGGTTTTGCAAAAGGGTACTGCCAGGGGGTGGCTCATTGACACTGAGGATCCAAGTGGCTACCTTGTCTTGCACATACAAGGCTTAAGGTCTTCTGTCCGAAATATTGTACGCCTGTTTTTTGCTCATCCCTTAGCTTATCAGGCAATACAAGATATTGCCAATTTCAGGCAGCTGGCTGTCTCACAGTTCATTAAAGGCCTTGTGGAGCTCAGGGGGTTCCTGCTTGAGAAGCTTCTGACTACGCCTTTAGAAGAAAGAGAAAGAAATC